CCCAAAACCACTATAGAAGCTAATTACAACGAAAAACTAACCAAAATCAGAAACAGCTTAAGCTGCTGGGAACTGCGCCGTTTAACCTTATTAGGAAAAATTACAGTTTTAGAAAGCCTTATTGCCTCTCAACTGGTTCACATCCTGTCCCCTCTGCCGTCCAACCACAGCGCTCTAACAGAAATAAATAATATGTTCTTCAATTTTGTATGGGATGGCAAGGGAGACAAGGTAAAGCACGACATAATGATCAACGACTACGAGAACGGAGGGTTAAGGATGATTGATATCAAAATTTTCAACAAAGCTCTTAAATCAAGTTGGGTAAAAAAATATCTAAATCCGGAAAATCAAGGAAAATGGAAACTTTTGTTTGACTATGAATTACAAAATCTAGGTGGTGTCGAATTTTTTCGTACCAACCTTAGTAAACATGATCTGTTAAAAACTATAAAAACTGCAGAGGCCTTTACTTCAGAAATACTCCACATCTGGTCAGAAATCTCACTTGAAACTAATGTCTCCTCCATTGATCAGCTAAAGGCGCAAAGTCTATGGCATAACTCTCTTATACGTGTCGGTAACAAACCTGTATACTATCGTTCATGGTCTGTAAAGGGAGTTAAAACAGTGGGCCATTTGATGAATGATGCGAATAGTTTCCTATCTTTCTCTGATTTTAAAGAGCTTTACGACATTAAAACAAACTTCCTTACTTTTCAAGGCATCTTATCAGCTGTTAAGGCCTTACAAAAAAGCAATGAAGCTAACTTCAACAGCTGTAATACTGCATACGAAACTACCTTCGACACCTTCCTAAAGACGACAAAACCAAAAAGACTAACATATAAAATTCTGACGAGCAACAGAATGCATACTCGAAACACCAGATAATGTCGACTGGAAGGCAGTTTACAGAACTCCTTTTCTGTGCACAAAAATCACAAAATTGATTGTTTTTTAATTTAAGCTACTGCACAGAAGACTAGCCACCAACACTTTTCTTACCAAGGTAAACCTCAGGGACAATGAGCAGTGCACTTTTTGTAAAAGTAATAAAGAGACTCTCATCCACCTATTTTGGACTTGTGATATATCCAACCGTTTCTGGAAAGGTCTTAAACAATGGATAATTAACCTTGGAGAACCTTTCGCGGAAATTTTCAATCTATCGCCATTTATAGTACTAGGGCTTAAGCCACACAAAAACAAGAAACTAAACTTCCTTTTTTTGGTCGCTAGATATTTTGTATGGATATGCAGAATGCGCAACATCTCTCCGGAAATAAAAACTTCCCCCTCTTCTTCTCACATTATAATGCATAAATCATTATTATGAAGAAAAAACCATGCTTAAAACAAGCACAACACGCATTTACTTAGTGTTTTCTTTAATTCTGTTTACATATAATTTGATGTTTGTATCCTTTTTTCCTGCACTTTTTTGTTTTCTTTTAAACTACCTTCTTTTCTATAAATTGTGAGTAGTGCACTCTGGCTGTAAACGCTTTTTTGTTTTTTTCTTTTCTTTTCTTTTAATATATAGTTATTTGTTTAGTCGCTCTTCAACCAGTATTTTTTTAAATATTGTATTGCACTGTAACGTACGTATTTGTAAAAAACAAAAAACGTAAGTAATGTAGCTATAGATGTAATTGTACTGTAAGTTATTTTCTGTAGCCGTGATATAAGTGATATAGCTGTAATTAAAGTAATATAGTTGTTTTTGCATTAAAAAATAAATTAAAAAATTTATAAAAAATAAATAAAAATATTGTGACAGTCAGATTAAAAAAAAAAAAATCTTTACCCCGATTTTCCATTTTTTTCAACAAATTCTAGAAAAACAGGGTAAAATCTAAGAATTCATCATCCAAATTGAATAGATCCCAAGTTGCCATATCCAATCTTCAACCCGATTCTCCATTTTTTTCAATGAATTCTGGAGAAACGGGATTAATTCTGCGAATTCATCGGCAAGTGGCTAACACGTTAAGTTCCCATATGCCATCTTTACCCCGATTTACCATTTGATCAGTGAATTCGAGAAAAACGGGGTAAATTCTGAGCATTCATGTTACAAGTGAATAATACCCGAAGTTCCCATATGCTATCTTTACCCCGAATTTCCATTTTTTTTCAGTGAATTTGGCAAAAATCGGGGTAAAATCTGAGAATTCATCCTCCAAATAAAAAGGATCCCAAGTTACCATATCCAATCTTTAACCCGATTTTCCATTTTTTTCAACGAATTCTAGAAAAACGGGATAAATTCTACGAATTCATCCGCAAGTGGCCAACACGCTAAGTTCCCATATGCCATCTTTACTCAGATTTTCCATTTGATCAGCGAATTCTAGAAAAACGGGGTAAGTTCTGTGAACTTCATTCTTTAGGTGGAGTATATCCTACTGACTTGCCATAGCCAACTTTACCCCGATTTTCGATTGGATCATTGTGTGAATTTGTCATAAAAGGGGTAAATTATGACAAATCCACCCAAACGTGCAATAAATCCAACAATGATCTAGAAACAGTACTAAAAAAAGAACAGCTAAAATCAGCGGGACCGCAATAAAATCACATCACAATCTACTACTTCAAATTTTTACGGAGGGCTTAGTGCGTTACAGCAAAAACCTACAATATTTAAAATAAACAACCAAAGGCCAAACTTCTGTGATTCAAGGAAGACTTCGTGACGCGACGCAGACAAATTATCACAACTTTGACCTCTCAGTCGATCTCACCTCCAGCAGATCAGCGAAGCGTCAAAAATATATAATTTCATGCCGACGAACCATAATCTATGATCTTCAACTATTAAACAAAATAAAACAATTGTGATATGACGCCACATTGTGCTTTTGTCTTAGCTTGTGTGTAAAATGTTGTCAATGGAGTCGCAAGTCGAATAATGAGGACAGTAAATAAAGCAAGTCTGCAAATAAAGCGTGAACAATAACGCATCTTTTGGTCGAAAGTCGCTTTGTTATTTACGTAGCAAGTTATTCTTCCACGTTTAGGCTATAACAACAATGCGATCACACGGCGCCAACGAAGGAACGATAGAACTTCAAAGAAAATAATGTGAGAGGCCAATGATCCGGTTCGCAGTGATCATGCGAACAGCATGTTTTCCTGAGATCAGTTACCGGAAAATACTGGTCAAATTTTCCACTTATCCCGACCCCCTCGAATAAGTACTTTTGCTTGAAGACATAACTACAACGGAGTCTCTAAACCAGTCCCAAGCCGCGTGTCGCTCGATAGATCACAGGATATGATTGGCCACTCTATCACATTACGTCAGAGGACATATCTGCAATGAGAGGACATAAGTGCAACGGTACATTTAGCTGCTAGATCAGTGGAGGCGCGTAATTCAGGGTCGTAACAAGGTATATGAGATCAGGGATCACAGCCCCGGGATCTGGGATCACAACACTTGGGATCGAGATCAGCAGTGTTTTAGTGGAATCAGGGATCAAAATTGTGAACGTTTTTGGGACCAGGGATCAAAATTCCCAATGTTTTTGTGATCAGGGATTAAAATTCTCAACGTTTTTGTGATCAGGGATCAAAATTTGGGGCAAAAATACAGGATCAGTTATGAAAAAATATACCTTGTTACGACCCTGCGTAATTACCGCTCAGATCGAAGAGAAACCGGAACCTAACTAGGTCAAACCGAAAACCGCTTTGGATATCAAATCCGAAAACCCGTTAATATTTTTCGCGAAAACTGAAAACCAAATGCTTATCAACGGAAAATCCGTAAACCGCAATGAGCACCAAAACCGAGAAACCGAAGTTTTTTGGCACAAAAACCGAAAAACCGATCTATAAGATAGCCAAAACAGAGAAACAGAAAATCCCAATGCCTCCCTCAGCAAGTTCATATTGGACCTGGATTGTTCCATCACAATTCATGTACCGCTCAGTGTAAAGTTCTCACTTGTTTCAAAAGTGCCCGTTTGAAGAACTGACTTATGTTATTCATAATTTATTGTTATCGTTTGCCTTTGTTGTTATTGTTCGGTATTAACCTTCATCAAGGAAAGAGGCGGAGAAATTAATTTAAGATTTCAAAATTGTAGTGAGGCGGAAAATTGTGGTGTTATTAAATTCATTTCTTAAACCGCAGGACACCTATTGGATTTTCGTGGCCCAATGACCCATAATGAAAACATAGGCTTTTGTATAGAGTCTCTGGACTATTTCTTGATTTGATTTTCTGAGTTCAGCAATTCATGGTCATTTTGATTCCGTTCTTAATGTTTGTAAAATTCTCTCAATCAAGATAAACCTTTTGGAGCTCAAAATGGAAATGTAATATGCTAAATAATATTCGATTCTAAAAGCAATGAACATGTAGCTCTTACGGGCAGGGATGTTGGCTTTGGAGTTCACGATACTTCATTCCCAATCGTGATTGAATTATGGCTTGAAAAGGAAAACTGAGCTAGCTGAATTCAAGCGAAACTTTGTGACCGTGGTACCCTTCTTTAGAACCTTGAATATCATCTGCAAATGTCGATATGTCCCAAAAGAATTGTTCAAAATCAGATTTTGTTTAAAAATCGTACAATTTCAGAATTTTCAACCAAGAACTACGCAGTTTTCTGGCCGTGAATTCTAGTAAACAACGATTCAAGCAGGGTAAATTAATTATGTAAGTTTCGTACATGACAGAAATTCATGTATTGTTCAATTCGAACCAAAAGATTTAGTATTTCGTTGAATGAAGCTTCTGTCTCGAACATTTCTTGGTCGTTCCCGCCTTGCCTTGTATTCATAGTTTCAGGTAAGCAGACTCGGATGTAACAAAATTCTTTCTTCGTGTAAAATTTGTGTCTGCAATCTGGTAAAAGAACCAATTCTTCATTGTTACGGAAGATTTACAAAATCAGAAAATCCAGTATTAGTCATTAAGTTTGGCAGCCCTCCGCGCACGACTGAAAATAAAATTTAACCCTCTACTCCACAATTTTTTTGTGTCAGAAAACTCTCCAGATTCAAACAAGGAAGACTTGTTAGCAGAACACGAACTCATGAGACAGCTTCAACATCATCCTAATATAATTCGTCTGATGGGCGCAGTGACAATGTCAGGTATGTCCACACCATATTGTGTACTATTTTTTTCCATTTAGAAGTTGCAAATCCAATTCAGTGTAAGGTGCACCCATTTGATGCTGTGAACGATCCTTTCACAGTGCAGTGAAGTTACGTTACCAATTGATTAGGAACACGGTGTTTGGGGAGTACATCTCACATGTAGGTTGTTTGGAACGAAATGCACCTATTAACCCTGATGCTCATTGATCTTCGGAGGGCACTTTTTTTGAAGGGGTGAGACAGACGGTGGCTTAAGGGTTTGTGTACTGTACTCCGGGTCAAGAGGACCGGGTCATTTTGTTGTGTTTTAGGACGAGATATCTCAGTCTCACAGAGCTCCCACCCTCCCACCACCTCCCACATAGGTTTAAATGTGTACCGGTGAACTTTCAGGAAGGCCTGACGAAATGCTGGATGGGGGTCTGGGGAGGGGACATTGTTTTAACGCCCCATTCAAGAAGAGTCGCAGTTTTGTAGTAGCTTAATGCTGATTTACCTTCACTGCCACTTTTAAGATAATAACGTACAGGAGAACGGATATTGATCCCATTGGCTTAACTTTCACATTTCAGTAGAAATTTTGGACCATTTTTGATACTATAAGGTCATTGAACCTGTTTGAAAACCACCCCCACGACCTTTGTGACAACGTGGCAATCTCCCTCATGGCTTGTTCCGCTCGATTTCCAGATCCAGTAATGGTTCTCTTCGAGTATATACCATTTGGCGATCTTCTCGGTTACTTAAGAAGATCCAGAGGCCTCAGTGACAATTACTATAAAGATCCCGATGTTAAACCATCAAGTTCTCTTTCATCTAAACAGCGTCTTAAATTTTCTCGAGAAATTGCTGATGGTATGGCTTTCCTGTCAGCAAACAAGGTAAACAGAGTCGTAACCAATCAGTTTTGAGTCCACTTAATCGCACTTTAAAAGAGCCGAACTGCACTTTTGTGATTCTTAAGATGTAATCCAACCGTTCGAAAATTGTCTGTGAATGCATCTATGCTGAAAACTTACCACAACGGGCCAGTGGGGCAAACGTTGAACTTCAAGAATTATATCAGGATGCAAAATTTATAAAGTTCCTTTTAGGGAATGTATAAGTTTGCCATCTTGCAAATCTGGAATTGACTCTGATTGTAGTTACATTTCCCTCAACACGTTCATAATGACCTGCAAAACAGTCTTGTGATCAGTAAGATAAGCCTTACAGGAATATTCAGAACGTAACCTGATTTAATCATTACCATTACAATTTCCTCAAATGTAACTGGTGCATTAGAAGCTTTATTTTTCACTAATCACTTTGTACACAGTGTAAACAGACAGTTGGCTGTAATCGGAAACCTATAATCGGACAGTTGAAGCAGCCGATCATACTGAGCCCTTTCAGCTGAATCTACTCTTCACAATATTGTATATCCTAAGAAAAACCGGGGAATTACCAAAATGGAGGAATTTTTAACTTAAGACACTCTCTCAACTGAAGATATTTGTTCTAGACGTACCTGTTTTTTCGGAAATTTTAATGGTTATGATTAATTGGTAATTGAAATTCTTGTCGTCTAATTCTGTCTGTAAACATACTCACGATTAATCGGACTCACGCTTGGCGGTCGTTGAATTTTGTTAAGAGTAAATGTCAGTAAAAATCAAGGAAAATTCAAAAAACGTGGCCACGGTCAAAAATCGATTGCGCTCATACTTTGTCAGTTTGAAGGCCTAGGTAAGTAACTGAAGGATATGAGGTTAGTTTTTTGAAATATTCCATATAACGGCAGAAAACCACGAAAAACGGTCACCCTACCGGAAGCTCGGATTTCACCTGGCGGAAACTCGAAATTTTACACTTTTCAGCTTCTCGCTACACAGACGTTTACATAGCTGTGAATCTTTCTTAAGTATAATTGAATACATTGATTCTTCCTTAGTCAAACCATGGGAATTATTTTTATCTCTGCTTATTTGTGAGCGAACTGAGACCCGATTAAGAAGACACACTTTTCTCATTTACGCGAAGGTGTAAAATAATCCAAACTCAGCGACGAAAAAAGCTGACCGGTAGTTCTTCAAATCCTCTGATATTATAACCAAAGACAGCTCAGTCATTGATTTTTAGGTCTACGGTTTTAAATCTTTAGGATCTAGTAGCACTTTTGCATGAACGCCGATCAAAATTCGATAAAATTCCAATTGAGCGCCTTTGAAATCTACAACTCTACATAACAATGCACTATTGAATAAATTAACTCCTCAGCCAAAGTTTGTACATAAAACATAAAGGTTTTGCTTTCTTAGCGGTTTGAAGCGTTTTAAAAATATATATTAATGTTAAATATTGTCTATACAGGTAAAACAAACTATGAAACACCAAAATTACCACGAGCTGAAATTAAATCTCACAGGCTCGCTCCCTAATCTGCGTCACACACGAGCGACTTCGCTACAATTAGTACAGTAACAAACAGATATTTACATCCGTTGATTTTAAATAAGTCGTATTTTTAAAATATCTTACTCAAAGATGTGCCAGGTTTCCCAGTTAACTTGCTGAAAAAAAAGAAAACCTTAATAGTAATTCTAGCTCAATTAGAATTGATTTTATTTAGTATGAGAAGTTTTGTGCCGTCGAAAACCAATCGGAAGTAACTGTTTCCACGAAAAGCAAATATTGCATCGTTCTCTAAATAAACAAATCTTCTTAACCATATAACCAGAGTATGTTGTTGGCGAAGTTAATAGACATACATAACAACGACGTCTTGCTCGTTCTTGAATATTGTCGGTGGGATTTGCGGCGCAGACGAACGCACTTGCTAAGTAACTTCCAATGGCTAATTTCTACCCTTACTCAGCTTTCGTCACACTGCTCACGCTGTGTAAGAAGGATATAAAACATCGCACGAAGTCCTAAAAAACTCTCCGGACTTGAACCAGAATTGATTTTAGCAAGATTGCGTGTTTTTAAAAGCCAACGAGTTTATTGGAGATGACTACCCGTACCGTCTCATCGTGTCACTTAGGCATAACCTGACACGATGTCGATAGTTTCGACTCCTGATGGTCGAGAGCACTCGGATTTCTTTTTTTCCGAGTACGCCTGTGTCACTTACTGAATAATACATCATTCTCATTTATTCACCAGGCTTAAAAATATTCCATCACATTTATTCCATTGCGCGTATGCCACACATGACATTCCAATCCTAGCAGTATGCAGGATGTTTGTCCCATGAAGCACTCGGATTTTTTTTCCGACTATGCCTGTGTCACTTACTGAGTAATACATCATGTTCAAAAGTATTAATTTTTGCACCATACAGGAAGTTGTTTCGGGTCACTCAACAAGAGCTGTGAAAAGTAGCCGCACTGGAATAGGAATATATTTTTTCCAATCCACGAAGATATTTGACCTTTCAAAATAGCTCGTCCCTATGGGCTCAGGTAAATAACAAGCAGGAACTGTCTCCAATGAGTTTTGCATCCTCTTCATTCTGTTGTCCAATGCGACTATTAAAAACACTATGAGTTTTACGACTTGCATGTTTTATTGATTGCGCTTGTCAAACAACACTACAGTCTGATAGAGAAAATAAAGTTTAATTTTGACAATATTCGATGAAAAATACTAAGAATTTTCCAAAGAGGGCACCGAAGAATAAATAATGTGCACTGTCATTTTTACGACATTTAAAAAGGAGGGAAGGGGGTGGGGGAAAGCATATCAAACTCTTTCCCCAGCGCGACGAACATTTGTTTTTCTCGGTTCCAGGTGTACGCGACCACTAAGCCTTCGTGATGCACAAACATGCTCTCTGTTGCGAATTTTCAAAATGGCGGACAGGCCAAAGAGGGAAATAAAAAAAGCAAAGCGATTTTGCAACAAATACTTGACATAAACCCCCGTTAGAAAGGCGAATCCACAATAGAAAGATACAAAACTGTATGATATTGAGATCAGGGAGGTTGACAAAATCAACAAGAGAGGTTGAAAATTCATGACGTTGGCTATAGCACATGCTTCGATGAATGGACACCCTTCAGGGCCGATTGAGGATCTGGATATTTTCCGTTTGTTCGCAGCGAAAAGCTGGTCATTCCCTCGGAAAACTTTCTAGAGGATAGAAAAGAATCGTTCCATGGCCAACTTGCTCGTGAAATAAAGAAAAAGCTTTGGTCTGGACGGCGAGAGGACCCTGATATAAACATAGACCTTAATGTTGACCAAGATGTTTTCATGGAAGGTGTTGGGAGTGTTTTGCCCGGCGTTCTTCAACGAGGGAAGATGGTTTACCAATCGGAGTCAAATAGGGTGCTTGATTCATATCTGGGGCTGAAGTGGGATGAAAGAATTTTAAATGTAGGTGAAGATTTTGCCTATGTAATTCCAGGAACTATTAAGTATTGGCTGGGACAAAGAAGTCCAATCATTGAATACAAGCTCATCGTTGTAGGTGTTCTTAAACCCTTTCATAACCTGCTGCCTCCAGGAACTGAATCCTGTTTTTCTTCAGAAACAGTTGTTTGAGGGCATCAACCCCTTTGTGAATTGTGGATCTGAAGAAATCTTTAGAAGCTCTATTATTGTATTTTTCCAAGCCTTGCTGTGTGTAATATGCTATGTTCTGATAAAGTGACAGGAACTCAGGAACATGATAACATAGTGCATGCATGTAGGGAGTGACATCTTTTGCTTGTTAAACTTTGAGAAAGTGCTCAAACCATGATTTGCTATTTCTTTGCAGTTCAAGAATACCCTCTTCAGATGTAAAATCTAGCCTCAAATCACCAATTATGTCCATAAATTTAGCCCAGATCACTTGTATGTCTTTGTTTTGACAAACATAGGTCAGAATTTTTATATTCTGAAAGAGTTTCAACTTTTCTGGTTCAGTAAGATCTCTATATTCCAGCTTTTTGCTCTCTTTGTTGATTCTAAAATTAAAAGTGATTCCCATACTTTTGATAAATTCTTCATAACATGCCATGTGTTTATATTTATCTCTTGGGAATCTATCAGAGGTTTTTTTTCTTGTAAACAAGTTAATCAAAACATCTGAAATCCTCAGAAAAAAATGTAATATATCTATGATGACAAGGTCCATAGGTATAAAATCAAATAATGGTTGTGCCTTACAGTTTAATTTCCTTTCAGTGGAAAACCTTGCTATTTCGGTGACAGTTCTAGCACCAAATTTGGGGTCATTAATTGACCATGTTTTGCTTGTGTCCCACCATTGCTCCCTTGGACACTTGCACCACACACAAGCATAATCCTCATTTGCCCTGCCTAAACCACATACCAGTGCTAAAAATTTCAAATCTCCACCTAAAAAGTATTCAATTTTATAGGTGCAATTATTTGCACTTATCTCCTTTAAGTTTGACATTTCCATTTGAAGGTCTGCTAGGCTGTCTCTCAGATTATGATATGTCTCTGTAGTTTTTATAACAGCAAGTACATAATTTCCCTTCTCAGCCATTGCCACATCCTTTTCATTGAGAATAGTAAATATGAAGTTGACAACTGTAAGCCGCTTTCCAATATTTGTACCATCACCGCTAAGCTTGATCTTAATAGCTTCTCCATCATTGATTTCTCCATTCTTCTGAAGCCTAACAATGTGCTCTTGCAAACTTTCTGCAAATCCTAACTGAACACCTTCAGCATCTCCTGGTGTTGGTTTCAAGTTCCATTTACTGTTTAGCTCATTAATTCGCTTCTTGATGGAATATGTATTGGGGAGACCATTAGCCTTAATGGCAATTTCATGCCAGGCCTCATTTGAAATATTGAATTTATCTTTGAGGTAGAGCCACATATTTATGTTATCAATGTCATAATTATCAAGGGCCTTTGGGTCAGACTCTGTAAATGGTACCTCTCCCTCTCCAACAAGATTGAAAGTTTCATATTGATTAGTCTCAGTGTTGAGGACTTCAATTTTGGTTGCAACAAAATTGTGCAGCCCAAGAAAAGAGAGTGTAGTTTGGCACTCGTCCTTCAGTTGGTTTTTAATTCTCTTTTGATGGTGCTTAGAATAGTCATTAAACTTCTTCTTAGCAGGGCCTCTACCTTTTTTCCCATTTTTAATCACTTTTTTGGCCAATTGAATAAATTTTTTATTGTAGAAGGCCCCTTTCTTCTCAGCTTTCTCGAGAACTTCTCAGGCTTTTTCATCCACTCGCAATCGCTTTGCCTTCTCCTGTACCAACGATTCTTCTAATTTTCTTTTTTCTCCCCTTAACTGGCTGTTCTCATCTTTAAGCTGATGCACATCAACCTCGTTGTAATACACCTTAAATCGATACCGAGGGCCCGCTCCCAAATTGCTAAGAAGTGCATTTAATTACCTTCCGCCACGATTACTAGCTTTCTTGACAGCTTTCTGAAGGCTGAATATTTTCTTTCTGAAGACTTCTGAAATGCGGCTATTGATTATTACACCTCGTATACCTGATTGCTCAAACACTTTGTTTACGATTGTTGAAAGGACCGACTCATGGTTTTCTCCGTCTTCGTCTTTACATTGCTTTGAAATAGTATAGATTAGTAAGCTGAAACGAAAAATTAATCGGGGAAGTTTACGAAAAATACAGCCAACAAGCTTAGAAAAGGCATTTATTTAGACTTCATACTGCGACAAACTTCACAAATCTTACTTGTTTACCTCGTAAGTAAACGATGGCAGATTAATTCCCGAAGCGCTCTCTGATTTTCCAGATCCCTCTCCTACTGCTTTCACGCTTACAAAACAGGAAAAAATCAAAAGGAGGAAGATACAGCTGTTTTGAAACGCCATTTGACGAGGGTAAATCTGCTTTTTGTTCGACACTTTACATATCAAAACAAAGGAAATTTGTTACTCTTTTTTATTCTGGCGGTACATTTTTAATTTGTGCCTGCGTAAAAGAGATATCGTTTGAGACCCTTCGCTTGGTTGTGTTTTGATCAAAAACGCCTTGTTAATTTCACGCAACCGCTCGGAGAAAAGGTAAAAATGACGGGGGAAAAACTTTACCTTCAAGTTAGAAAATTAGCGAAATAGAAAGCCAAAATATTATAGTTTAAAATTTCAGAGGTACATTGAGTGCTTTTTCCGTAGAGAATTCGCACGATGGTAAAATATTCGAAAATTACACTCGATTTGAGTGGGGCGTTGAACTGGGCGTGGTCGCTATATTCATGTTAAGACTATTTGTACCCCATGAGTTTGATATGGATTTAACAACCATACTACTCTCTCTCCCCAACCACCCACAGAGTGCACAGTTTGCACAGTATACTAGTGGAAACGTCACATCAACCTTACTTATTTCTTTCCGTCGTTTAAACAAATGATTCTTTCATATAATCTTAAGTCAACAGAATGAATAGACTAAAAATAATTCATTGGAGATAGTTTCTGTTTGGTAGAACATCAAGTAGTTGGTTGCTTACCTGAGCAGGGACGAGCTGTTTTGAAAGCTCAAATATCTTCATGGATTGGAATAAATTTATTCCTTTTTCCAGTGCGGGTGCCTTCCTCAGCTCCTTGCAGTGACCAGAAACAACTTCCGGGATGGTGCAAAGATTACCCGTCCTTCGCCAACCTAAACCTAACTTGGCACGATGAACCGGACAGATAGTCATATCCGATAAATTCGCCGGCTTTTGAAAACATCCACATCTCGCCAAAATTAATTCTACCTCCGTTTCAATACCGGAAAATTTCAAGGACTTTTTGTGATTTTTGATATCCCTGTTACACCGCGTGAGAGGCGTGACGGAAGTTGAAGAACTTGTGCGTTCGTCTGCGCCGCAAATCCTACCAACAATATTCAAGAAAGAGCAAGACATCGCTGTTCTATGAAGTTCCCCGACAATAAACTCTGGTTTTAGATGAAATGTTTCACAGATAAAGATAATCCGATTTATTTATTTAAAGAACGCTGCAATTTTCGTGAGAACAGGTACTTCTGATTGGCTATCGACGGCATAAAGCTTTTCATTCTTAATAAAATCAATTCTTATTGTTTCAGTTTGAATTGCTATTATGATATTTTCTTTTATTATTACTTCAGCAAGTTAACTGAGGAACCTGGCACATCGTTGAGTAAGATATTTTAAAATAAGACTTATTGTAAATTAACAGATGTAAATATCTGTTTGTTACTGTACTAATTGTAGCGAAGTCGCTCGTGCGTGACACAGATTAGGGAGCGAGCTTGTGAGATTTAATTTCAGCTGGTGGTAATTTTGGTGTTTCATAGTTTGTTTTACCTGTGTAGACAATATTTAACATCAATATATATTTTTAAAAGGTTCAAACCGCTAAGAAAAAAAACCCTCATGTTTTATGTACAAACTTTGGCCGAGGAGTTAATTTATTCAATAGTGCATTGTTATGTAGAGTTGTAGATTTCAAAGGCGCTCAATTGGAATTTTATCGAATTTTGATCGGCGTTCATGCAAAAGTGCTACTAGATCCTAAAGATTTAAAACCGTAGACCTAAAAATCAATGACTGAGCTGTCTTTGGTTATAATATCAGAGGATTTGAAGAACTACCGGTCAGCTTTTTTCGTCGCTGAGTTTGGATTATTTTACACCTTCGCGTAAATGAGAAAAGTGTGTCTTCTTAATCGGGTCTCAGTTCGCTCACAAATAAGCAGAGATAAAAATAATTCCCATGGTTTGACTAAGGAAGAATCAATGTATTCAATTATACTTAAGAAAGATTCACAGCTATGTAAACGTCTGTGTAGCGAGAAGCTGAAAAGTGTAAAATTTCGAGTTTCCGCCAGGTGAAATCCGAGCTTCCGGTAGGGTGACCGTTTTTCGTGGTTTTCTGCCGTTATATGGAATATTTCAAAAAACTAACCTCATATCCTTCAGTTACTTACCTAGGCCTTCAAACTGACAAAGTATGAGCGAAATCGATTTTTGACCGTGGCCACGATTTCTTTGATTTTTACTGACAATCACTCTTAAGCACTCGGATGATTACAGAGCAAATTGGACTCCACTCGGTCCTATTGCCATTATTAATTATGATATCGCAAGCTAAGCCGTAAGATAATGGCTATACGTAGATTGATTTTGGGTTGGAGTTTCAGTTGTCATAAACTTTGAAATGTGGAAGTTGATTTTGTTAGCATCATAAAACCAAGCTTTACTTTGACATTATAGAAGCTCTTTTTCAGATTTATAGTCTTTTTTAGTAATCACTGCGAAAGCTTTATCTTGAGTACTCTAATTTGTGACCGGTGACCAAAGGTTAACCTGTTTGATTATGCGAAATCAGCGTTCTAACAACACAAGAGCAACTATTACGAAAACAAAAAACGATCAAGCGCATGTTCAATTGCGCAGGGGTCCTATTCCATTGGCTTAATTGCAAATCTCCGACAATAACATATGATCACTTGATTTTTTCCCAACTCCTTTAGATAGTTTATTTAAGATGAGTCAGTCAGTTTTCTTGTATACGCATCCCGATTCAATCTTAACTTGTGCACCCTGAAACTAATGGTTCTACGAAAAGAACCTGTGCTTCGCCAGATACGAAAAGCCACTAAAAAAATACTCATTAGATGTGGCCAAAAAATACATGGAAACGTATTCCTCATCCAATGCAGCAGCACTACTAATCACAAAGAAAAACCTATGATTATAACGATATCTTAAAGGGGGTTGGAATATTACAATAACAAATACGAAAAAGAAAGTGGTTAAACATAAGACTGACCGACCAAAGATGACTTAGTATTCCCGCGAAACGCTTAAATAATGTGAAACTCTCATGATGCTACGCGAACCTCTCTAACGTACAGGATATTAATTTCTGACCAATTCTTTCCCATGCCACTCAAACGTCAGAATTTACATTTTGTAGCTGCTCGTTTTCTATATTTTTGGCGGCAGATTTTAAGATAATAACTGATCTGATTTACGTTTGCATCTTCAGCTATGCGCTGATGTCTGAATGCTGGGATATGGAGCCGGACCGCCGTCCGACATTTGATTCTATTAGCAGAACAGTCAAACGGCTTGAGCACGGTCGCAAGGTGAGAATTGATGGTTCTTCTTCTTCTAAAATAGTCCTAGAGAGTGATTTCATCTAATCACGATTCCTTTCGTGTAAGTGTCTGTTGAGTAGATCTCAAACCATGGCACGAGTTATAAGCTTGGATCCGCCACAGTATTAACTCGGGCATATCAAATCGTCCAGAGATCAAGACCAGAGAAGGCTTGACGGATATTTCTAAGTGGACATACTGGCCTTTTACCAGTTTCTAATCTTTTTTTATTATTATTATTATTTTTTTCATTTGTTTCAGGAAATTATTTACATGAATGTTTACAACGATAATCTTTATAATAACCTGGAGGACTGGGACGAGTAATGACAAGGATAGAGAGAGAATTCACATTGATAGAGGGAAACTTTTGTTGCACTCATTCTAAACACTTGTACCTTGTTACTAGAAGACTATTTTTTTTCCTGTCCTGCTTCTTTTCCTGTTTTTTTTTTCTTTTTCTTTTCGGCGAGAGTTTTTTACCATAGGTTGCGATGCTAACAGATAACTTACTCTTTTAGCTATTCATTATTTGATTTTTAAGGAATATATTATACCTGCAGTATAGTATAGTATAGGTGAGAGGGAGCGGCTACCTGGAGGTGGTGGAGTAGTGTGGGACATTTTCTTGTGGGTTCAACGTTTTAAATTTCTAAAGAACCATCGTAGCATATAAATGATACGTGATGTGCTTTTCAACAAAAAGCATGATTCAAATTTTGCTAAGCAAAGTTAATCATGTCTGAAGCTTCTTGAGGAGCGTTCCTCGTTCTCATGAAACGCGTTAGCTATCGTATCATGGTTGTTGGCACAATATGGCCCTTTACCGCTATGGCGAAGTCGCCGTTGTAGATATGTTAAAATAGGAGAGGATGCATTGAATGATCGCCCAAAAGAAGCGTAGCTTTCTAAATAAGCAATCGTTAATAGAGACCCGACGGGAACTGAAGTGTAAATAAGTGACAAGGAAAGTAACGTTTTTCGAGTTCATTTCTTTGTAATTTCTGACATTTAACTATATGATATAACTTGCTTAGGTAAAAAAAGTACGAAACAAAGGTATGGTATCTTGGTATCTTGAATGTAAGTCCACTACACTTTTACTATACCCCACCTATGCCAAACCTGAAAATTATGACCAACCTACGTTAGCGGTGTAGCGCCCTTAACAACTGAGTCAAAAGGCCAGCCACATTCAATCGCTTCGAGGCCTTCTTAGTCTCATTTTAAATTAAAATAGACGCTAGTATTTCTGAATCTTACTACAAGAGTTACACTTGATATTTTTTGTACCCTCTGTCACCTGTTAATTGAATCAATGTATGTGATGGGTTCAAATTTTATTTTCTTTTGTTCTTGGGTATTGTAATGTATGATAATGAGTTTGAAACAAAGGAAAATAACATTTGAATCATGAATAAAATTGAACCACAACACATCCATCACTTACGCCATCAATCTAAGGGCGTCTATTCCTACCTTTAAGCGCATAGAAGCCTTCTAAGAATGCTTGCCAAACACTATCCAATTTAAATATACTTTGAAATTAAATAATATTTTGTCTATTCTGTCCTTGGTTTCATTTCGATTTGATACGTCCCAACTGAATTCAGGGCATATTAACTATGCTAGCTTTAATGAAACTTTACAATTGTAAACCTACACAGTATTTTATGACAAAAAAAAATACATGTTTGAAGGATAACATCTTTGTTCGTTCTGGAGCGCCCTTTAGAACTCACTTTGAATGATGAAAATGCGTGCCGTGTATTTAACATTCTATTACGTGCACAATTTTGTGGCTTAAATACAGTACTGGACAACAACAGCCCTGCGATATTTCCAACTGAAACATCGCTCATATATCACCGATGCATCACGACGATCGCGATAATCGGCGATTATCGTTTGCATCACACTGGCACAGTACTGTACTTAATTAAAAGAATCTCATTTAACACCATATGGCTACATTATCAGGTGTTCACTGACTTAGCAAAGAGCCCTATTTTTATACAGTGTATGCAATTTTAAAAAAGCACCAAAGCCTAAGCTTCCATATCATCAACGTTCTGGTAAAGTTTGCTATCGTAGTCCTTAAGGTTGATGTAGGTCTGAAAAATGAATGCAACAGTTTGAGTTCTTGATATAGCAAAATGAAAAATGATTGACCACTGAGGTTCACAAGGCGGTAAACACTACCTTTCTTTCATAAAGACCAAAACAAAACAAGAACAAAAAGCAAATGTGCAACTGACTCTGATCCTAAGGCATGTTCATGACGAACTCTTCAATCTCAGTTCGAACGTTCCACCGCAAAAGCTTTACATAAACAGAAATACCTAGAGAGATGGGGGTTTTGGGCCTCTCTCGAAGAGGGGTTAGGAAGACACAGGGTCAAGCCCGTTTTCTTCAATTTCTTTATCTGGAGCTCGCTTGCGATAACAAATTCTTTACTTCTATGTTGAAAACAATCAAAATGCGATAACGCTATTACAAAAAGGAAGTTTTAGATACCTCTTTCTCTTTGCCCATGTCTTCCATGGTCCTGCGCAGCTCTGCAAATGATGGTCGCTCCTCGGGTTTTTTATTCCAACAGGCTTTCATGACTTTATACCTAAAAAAAAGAGAAAACAAGATTTAATTAATATTGATTGACTCTGACAGAGGTGAATAACGTACCACATGGATACCGAAAAACAAGTTTATTTCTTTCAATATACCTAACAAGGGTTTGAAATTATACTCTCGACGCGCGATGTTGTTTCATCGGCTCCTCAGAGGTAAATGGTACTTGTTTTTTACTTCCGAATTAGCCAATCAGTGCGCGCTAAAAGCATTATTCATTTGTATGGTATATACTGACAGAAGATATGAACGAGGTAACTTCATTAGATGTGACACTGATTTATTTTTAAGTGATCCACTTACAATTGTTCATCCAAATGTGGAGGCTTGGGCATTCTGTAACCTTCTTGAAGTAAAGAGGCTAAAGATTTTCCGTCGATTTTCGGATATGGTGAACCTCCTATGAATCAAAGCTTGTTATTCACAACGATATTAAAAGGCAAAACCACAGTAAGCATTACGATGTTTCTTACATATGATCGGAGTTAGGAAATTAAGACAGATTTCGCAGTAGCCTGAGTATACGTTCGCAGAGTCGAGATTGTATGTTAAGTCTTTGAATTGACCTACGTGCAAGCCTTCAGTAGCAACGCTGCAGGACGCGTGTTTCTTTGCATGCGAGGAGACTGGAGAGTTTTAAAAGTTTTTCGGAAGTCAGGAGAGTTTTGCTGGGGGTCTGGTCACTATCAAACGCCCGTGCTGAAGGTCTGGGAATGGGCATCCGCTCGCAAGCCCGTTTTATATTTTATCCATATTGCTCATTTCATTCTCGGCTTTTTTTAACGAAGGTTTACACCACATCAAAGTACACTGGAATAGCAGTAAAAAAAGATGAACAAACGGTTCGGCAGTATCAAGAAGATGCTCGCCGATTAAACTGAAAACACGTCTTACGGAAGAGTTGATTCTCACCTATGGTAAAGATTTCGTACATCAGGATTCCATAGCTCCATCTGAAATTATTAAATGAAATACGTCAAAGAAGTCCGTTTTTTAAAAAGAGAACACTTAGGAAAAGCAGTGGTATCCAGAACAGCGGTAACAAAACCAAAACTAAGCAAACAATTGAAAGTAACTTACATGTCGCTCATCGTTGTACACTTTCCATATAACAAAGATTCATATGCAGTCCATTTTACAGGGAGACGACCCTACCAATCAAGAGACAAATGCCAAAACTTAACTTGATAACTGGTAGAATTCTACCACTCAATAACATGGAATAAACATTTTCATGAGAGAGCATCAATACCTTGAAAGGCAACTTTATGCATAACTTGCACAACCAAAAGGTTGTTAAAACCATGCGCAAAGTAATCTCGCTGATCAAAATGGTTTTTACCATATGGTGCGGATCAAAAACTAAAATAAAGAGGAAATCAAAGCTAAAAGAAACTTTATTAACGTGGAAATTAGACTAATCATTATCCCTTGTAGTTTACCGTGGCTGTTCTTCTGTAGAGGTCTTCTTTAAAAACATCCCTTGCCAAACCAAAATCCGTTATTTTGCAGGTCTCTCTATCACCAACTAGTACATTACGTGCTGCAAGATCGCGATGAACTATCTGCAAGAATGGTTAAAACCCGTCATAGATCAATCCAGTTAATCTTGCAAATATCAGGTGTCTCCAGTATTTCAACCTTAGGCGATCTAGCGATTTTTAGGAAAACCAGGCAGGGATGATAATTCTTACGACACCGATATGCACTTCGTGCTTACGCTAGGCATCATGACTTAACAAATGTGGGAAAAATTACAGCTCAAAATATTTAATTTCGTGAGGGTAATGGCCTGAGGTACCCTGTCGAAACTCCTATTTTCTTCAGAAGCCACAACTGTCTCTTTGGTTTGTTCCTGTAGCAAACAGGAAAGCTGTCTGGAAATTCAATCCACTCGTTTGTGTTATTCTGATAGAGTGCGATCATTCTAAGGCGTTTAAATTTCCATTTGTCTTGTTTCATATCGTACATGAGATAGTTGATCTGATCTGCCTGATCAAGTCGCTCTCACTTTTGCCATAATCGTGTGGTAAGAACAACCTTTGTAAACGGGCACATTACAGTACCTTCATTGAAGACAAGTAATCCATGCCATTCGCAATGTCCCAAGCAAAGCTGAATAATTGGTTAGAACTAAGAGAGCTTTGGGGTTTTATTTCAGTGTCGTTGTAATATGTGTCGCGGAGTCCACGGCTCTTCCTCAGAAAACCTAAGAGATCTCCATGTGGCACATACTCCGTTACAACCATAACGGGATCTTAAATAAAAAACAACGTTTAAAAAAATAAAGTTAGTTCAAACACCCCGATAAAAATATGTTTTTGAACAGGACTGTTACGACAAGATGGCTGCAAATTTTTAAAGTTCCCTCTAAGCGCAGTCATCTCGGCGGAACTAATGTGGCCAGCAAAGGATTACGGCCAGCCGATTATATCAAAGAATTTCGCTTTCATAGCTTTCTCTTCTGTTTCAAATTCTTCTCTTTTCCTCTCTTTTCGATTAACCTTTTAACTTCCACGATCTTATGGTCAATTCTCCCCTCTAACAATTTTTTTCCCTTGTACATTAGTAGTGAGAAATTGGTATTAGATGAGGATAAAAAAAAACCTGATAAGTTCGAGTATTCCCATCACCAGTTGGGGGAAAATGTAGGGATATTATAGGGAGAAGTTTCATGTTAATTTCTTCTGGGAGTTGAAGGGTTATTTTCTCTTCATTTTCCTCACTAGCACTACTTTTGCGCGCCTTTTGATATGTATCTTTTTTGTTATTCCCTCTTCTTTTCTACATGTAACTCTTCCTCCGGAGGTGGTTTCCGCCCGCAACAGATCAGGGAACATGACCTCTGAAAACGAGGTTGCCTAGATACAGTAGCCAAAATGCTTATCGCATACATAGTCAAATAGGTATGGGTCGCACTTTTTCAAAATGTGTTTACTTTGCGGTTAAAATCTGTCGTCGAAAGACATTCTCGAATGCGAATGTGGTTTTTCCAGTGCTAGAAAATTTTATTCCAATCGCAAAAAAAAAACAAACAAAGGTACCTTGGTACTTGGGTTGGGCAGGTAGACTCTGGAAAAATAAAGCTAAACTAAAGAGATAACCGTGGTAACTGTCAACGCTTGTCGATGAAACTTGGTCGATTGGAAACACGCACGTATGGTCAATTTGCGGGAATAATTTAGAACTTCGTGGTTTCGATATGAATAGTCGTCATTTTTACTATCCCTTACACGAAGCTTAATTTTTTTTCTAGCTAGTTATGAAATATCCTTAGAATAACCATCGACACAACTTCAATAGGACGCATGATCGCGAATCTTTCTTCCGAGCCATAAACATGCACTTTTGTTTCTGGTCTACTTCAGTTCTCAACAGTTCACAATGATGCTAATTTTTATAACAGCCACTCAGGGAATGAGGCCGTAGAAATGTATCTTCAATTGTGTAGACAATCATTTCGCTGTTGTTGCGCTACACTAAGAGACTGTTTCGTTAAAGTAAAAAGTTGTCATTTATGTTAAGCTCGCTAGTTGACCTGCAGTTGTGATTGCTGAGGTTTGTTTCTCTAGAATATTATAAAGGTGGTTCACTAATGAACGTGAGTTGGTGCGTTTTCGACAAATTACAACATTTGCAAGATACAACGATATTTCTGAGGGGCCATGTGCATCTGATCCATAGAGATTAAGTTCACTGGCAAACCTGATTTGGTGACACAGCCCAGCAACTGAATAACATTTTGATGCGGTTCAAGCTTCTTCATCATGTTTAGTTCAGCGAGGAGATCCTGTCTGTTTTCGTCGGTGGCATTTTCTACCATAGATCAACATAAACAACGGGTTTTTATAAATGGTTCGGGTACTAGAAAAAAACTCTAATGTTCTGAAAACGTTATCGTCGAAATTGTAAAATCAAACGAGCAAGAAAAAAAATGCAATTTACGTCCCCAAATTTCTCCCTCCATTCTTAATCGAATTTACCGTGAATTAGCTTGAGGGAAGAATTTCTAAGTCTACACACTCATGCCATCTGACGTCTTCCCTCACTTGAGTTTGTTAGACCGAAAAAAACTTGCATGAAGATAAGGTAAGTTTTTAGAGGTATCAGTTAATTAAACGAACCTTTTAACATTTTGATAGCCACAACCACGTCTTCCTTGTTGTCATTTATTCCCTTAGCCATTCCTCGAGCCACTTTACCAAAAGCTCCCCTGCCAATCACCTTCACAAACACGAGATTCTCTCTGGGTAATTCCCAGTCCTTTTCGGTCGGGTTGGGAAGTATAGGAGGAATCACTGAGTATTCTTGACGGATCACTCCGTCAGAAGAACTAATTGGATCAGGAGTTCTTCCTGCGTCTGCGTCTACGTCTGCGTACATGTAATTTTGAGACAGTGGGTTCTGTACAGAGAAAGTACAACACACCACGACTTAGTCTGGTCATCGATCATAGCTTGAGAGGAGGTGTGGGGGGGAGGGGGGGGGGGGTGAGGACGGAGGATTTTGGCTCGTCGTAATAAAACTTACCCGATGCCTCAACAAGGCTCCTTCCCCCTGATTGGCAGTCAATAAAACATAGTCCTACTACCTGTAAAAAACTCTATAAGAGATAACTTTCCTCCCCCCCCCCGTTCCCCTTGAAAACCAAGGCCCTTCGACACCATCTATTTTCGTGGCGAGAAAAACGAAAGTCTTGCCATTAATTCATATACAAGTATAAATTGCAATGTAAATTGTTCAGAGGAACGTGCTTGATATCATCCTGTGAACTTTCTTAGGGGACATCCTCCCGAAAAAAAAGATAAATCTTATCCTATTCTTACCATTTCAACCATATTCGTATCCAGTCTAGCTCTTTCATTTTTGCTAGAAGAGAAGAGAAGAGATAACAACATACTTGACATCGTATTCCTGCTAACAACATAGTCTATCAGGTCAATCAGAGTGGTTGAAACGGAACAGAAATGTGACTAAAATAGGATTGTAAATACTGAATTAGAGTGACTAGAAGCGTGCTGAATATCAGGAGAAGTAACCAAGCCTATCATGTAAAACCTTGGTAACGTTATGAATGACAGTTTAAGACAGAAGTCACCAAATTAAAATCGCCGGCAAACTTGCCAATGGAAGATGGAACACCACGGTGAGAAAACCGACACAGGCGTAATACTTACTTCCTATTGGTACGAGCCACTGTTGAGAAAAAAAATAAGATAGAGATTGTCAGTTCATTTAAATCATTAATCTTTTCCTTGTAAGTCATCATTTGTCAGTCTTAAGATATGTGTTGCATCACATATATATCGATATATCGCATAGGGTGGGGACGGAATCAAACTTCCATGAAAGAAATGGGAAACAGTTTTATCAACAGTCTTAACCCCCCACCCATTCCCCCTTTCCAAGACCCTGTTCCTCCGAATCCAGAATCCAAAATCCAAGCCATTGACCTACTTTAGCCAAACGGTTTTAATAGTTTTTACGAGGGAAGGTGTACGAGCTCACCTCTTTTTCTACGCGTGAGGAAAAAGTAGACAACAACTAGTATAATTAGGATCAGGACCACGGCAACAAAGGCCAGATATACTGGATGCGTATTAATCGTGTCGTCATCAGCAGTACCATTAGCTGTGGGGGATACGTCTGTAATGGTTCTCGCTTAAGAGATGAACAGACCGAAATAGCATGGATTAGTTGTGATCGATATATCTATGAGATGACGTTGATGTTGAAAGAACACATGCATGTTACAATTTCTCTCAGTGGCACCTATGAGGAGAACAACACTGTTAAAGGAAAAAAGCATAATATAAATATGTGAGTTTTTCCTTCTTTTATATGTTTCTTAGCCTTCAGTTAATCATGCATAAGCTACAATTGGTAAAGTCGGAAGTTAGAAAACTTCAATGAAGAACTTTGTTCTGAATGATAAATCAAGTTTGAGCAAAGTGCTATTTTCCATAGGGGGAGATGAATTGAGAGAAAAAACGACGTCATTTATAAACGAGCGAAATTACTCAGTGCACCAAAATCTGTAACTGCACGCTAAATTAGCGAGTCATGTGGATACCAGACGACAATACAATACCAATTACACTTGTTAGGCTCAATAGATGTAGATGTAGACTACTTGAAGTATTTTGTAACAGTGCCACGAGGGAAAGCGAAGACGGGGATGATGCAACACCCTGAGTAATTAATCTGCCCCCTCCAGCCCGATCTCTTATCGGCATGAACTCTTCCGATCAGAACTCTGGCTCCGCATCAAAAGGACTACGGAGTACTCAGACTACAGACTTAGCTTAACGAGAAAAACAGTCGTCTACCTGATACTTCCAGTATTGTGGAATTTGAAATTGTCGCGTCTCCAAACGTCAACTTACAACCATATCGCCCGGTGTCATCCACTTTAACGTCAATGAAAGAAAGGGAGGCTTTGCTCGTCACATACACACGGCCTTTGTAATTCGATGATAAATACTCCACTGGCTTATTCCCATGCTGTTGAGCTATGATGGTTTCCAAAGTACCTTCCGAGGTCATAGTCCCCCACTGAGCAAGACTCAGTGTGTGAAAGCCAGAATGATATTCCCAATGTAGTGTAATGTTATCGCCATCTTGAGCTTGAATTGGACTGACTGGGGTCAGTACAAAAACTTGCGCATCTAAAAAAAAATTATCAATTCATGAGACATTCCACTTTTAAAGTAGTTACTCAGTATACGTTATAACTGGAAATTGAATGATCTATTTTGGTCAGAGAGAGGGGTAGGAATGCACTCAGCGGCTGTTTGGTGCTAACTGGTGATATTGCATGAGTTTTTATCGAATGAATTTTATTTATCTAAGTTTTCTAAGAAACATGTAGCACGGCATATGCAGCTAATCCGATTTATCGACAACAAAACCTTTCTTGGTTTCTAATGTCGGTCAGTTTATTCGGTTTTTATGCCTTTATAATTTCCCAGTAGACTCTTTTCCAATTTCGTAAAAATGTAGCCAAACAGACGGGAGGAAGAAAAAGGAATGTGTCTTTCATTGAACAACTACTGCTCCATATTTTGTTGTTCTCTAGAAAACCATCGTTTACTCTTTCCTTAACACTCTTGATAGATTGTTCATGTAACATTCTTAGCAATTGTTCCTCTCCCAGAGGAATTGGTTAGAAGGGTCTGAGAAGCAAAACGAAATATCACCTATGGCTAAATTACAGGCAAAAGTATGGAAAATAATGCTTGATAATGATATCGGCCCTACCGGGCTCTTCGGAGTCAGTTCAGCGTAATTATTGTCATGATCAATATCCCCAGGCAATTTTAAATCGTTGCGTGACACACTAATTTCAACATGTTGGCCACCGTGCAGCGTTCATACAACTTTTTTTAATTCAGAGCCGATGATAACACATTACAAATTGCTCCATAAAATTTGCCACGTACATCGCAAAGACACGTTCACCTCGACTAAACATGTGGCCAAGGAAAAACTGTAGAGGGGAAGCGTTTGTTCAAGCTGTAGTTTTTCTTTTCCTTTTTTTTTGTACTGACACCAGAGTTTTGTATTTCGCAAGAGTAGATGACAGCAGAAGAATAACTGTATGAAGTATTATTTCTATTTATATTATTAAAAGATGAGCGAAGCTTCTTATGCAGGAACTCTAATCGTTATGAATATTTTCTTATGCATCGAGGTGTAAAATCCTAAAGGGTTGGATAAACACGACGATTGCGGTATAAATAAAACTCGATACGTTCGCACCGCGGAAAGATATTTTTATATTATGGCGTCCAGTGGTGTTATTTCGTTGTTGAAGTTCTATTTTAATGCAAATCGACGACCATAAAGGACAAACAAATATGACTCGCCTCACTGAGTGCCGTGGATGCAGTTCATATATATTGTCAGTGCACTGTAGGATTCTAATTTGTTAAGTCGCGCCGAGCTTCTTATAATGACTTTTGAAATTGATGAAGAGATCAAGCGCTTCGATAAGATCCAGCTAACCGACGCCAACCAACACTATGATTAAGCCTTTATGGCACGCAGACACAGAATAAATACATTTTTTCCCTTAAGAAAATTGCGGTATACTATTGAGTTGAGAACGCTCCACTAGAACTTTCGAAACTGTACAATAGCAGTTTATCATCAGGTTTTGTAACCTAACGGCTGAAACCAGAAGTTCTTACCTGAGATCATAAAGAGAAATACGCTTGCAATAAATAGCATGGAGAACTCCATTCGTAAGACAAAGTTCTGACACTGCAGCAGTAAATATCTAAGTTCCGCACTCCATCCGCAGCTTGAAAATTAATGCGGACGTGCCGATTGTAACTTGTATGTTCTCAAGTGATGTTTTTGTTGAACGTGAGCTCACATCCGGTGACAAAAACGAAAACCTTTCGTTACAAGTTATATATTGACCAAGATATCCAGCACACACCGATGAGATAGAAAACAGTAATCGACTGAATAACGAGGCCAAGTATTTTGTTTTGTTTATGACGTGAGTCACAAAGTGAAACTCGTCACGGCTGGCTGGAGAGCGGATATGAATATTCAAATTGAGTTTAACAAGTGATATTTACGTCGTTCGAAGATACGCTCATGGTCATCCCGAACGCGAAAGGCAGATATAAAAATTTACAATGAAAAATACAGATGAATAAGCGAACCGAGGAAGTTTTAAGAGTTGATCTGGTCTGAGTGAGTTGGTCTGAGGATGTGGAGAGACGAATACGGTGAAATTAGATTGATTAACCATCATCGGCAACAAGTTAATATTATACCTGGATTGTTCCATTACAATTCCATAGAATTTGCAAAACATGACCCGAGGAGGCGGTTTTTCGGTAAGCAGATGACGCACAGGTTTATTGAAGAGAGGAAAAAATGTTTGAAGTTATTTTTATGTATTTACATCGCCGGTGTGGAACTCTGAAGTGCAAGTAGTGGCAAATTACCACACTTCATTTACCGCACAGTGTAAAGTTCTCACTTGTTTCAAAAGTGCTTGTTTGAAGAATTTACTCATGCTATTCATAATTTATTGTTATCGTTTGCCTTTGTTGTTATTGTTTAGTATTCACTTTCATCAGAGAAAGACACGGAAAAATTAATTTAACATTTTCAAAATTGTAGTGAGGCGGAAAATTATGGTGTTATCAAATTCATTTCTTGAAGCGCAGTTTACATATACGATTTTCGTATATTTACAGTCATTGATTCATTACTTTACTGGTTTGTTACGAGCCAACATAATGACCAGCTCCCAGAGTTGGCTTGTTAGCTCAGTTGGCAGAGCACTGCACCGGTATCGCAGACGTCACGGGTTCAAAACCCGTACGCTTTCAAACTCATTTCTTAAGCTGCAGTCCACATATATGATTTTCATATATTTACAGCCAATTTTATTCATTTTCCATTAAGAGAGTTGGCCTAATGACCCATATTGAAAAGAAAGGCTTCTGTAAAGAGTCTCTGGACTGTTTCTTGATTTGATTTTCTGACTTCAGCAGTGCATGGTTATTTTGATTCAGTTCTTAATGTTTGGAAAATTCTCTCAAATTTGGATTAGTTGCATTCTTCATGAGACAGTGGGTAGTTCATCCCGTATGAACCATGGAAAGAAACGGACAATAGTTTCTTGAAGTACATTTATTAGGCCTCAACTAATGACTTTCCATGACAATTAGTATCAAGCACGAAGTTTCTCCTTTTTAAGCTGGTTATGAGCAGTTTAATAGATTCCCGATCACCCCTCTATTTGCTTGAAGCCACAGACTCTGGTGTCACGACGGAACTCTCTTACTTTCTTAGTTGGTACCGCAGTAGCGCAAATGACACTGGTGCTCCCGGGGCGTTCCATCGATGTAGTAAATGTAGAAATCGCCACAATTCATCACTTGGATATCGATCGACCAGGTACAGCAATTACTCCAGGAGAAACAGACCTTCCTGGTGACTTTACCCTCTTCCACTGAAGGATGGTTGCCACTCAACCACCCAGTAGCGTGGGTACCGCACCTGGATGTTTGCGGGCAAGATGAAACCATTTTAACCCCGGCCGCTCCTTGGAAGCGATACCAGTTCGGCTTGAGATGGTTATCGCATAAGAGTGGATTTGCGCCATGGTTAACATTCCTGCTTGCATCTGCCAGAACTTGGTAGTTCTGACATTCTACAGTACAAGACAGAAACAAGCTTCCAATTAGTTCAACAAAGCTATACGTACTCTGCATTATTTCATGAACAATTTCAGACTTGTCCTGTTTGTTAAATGGGCATCAACGATGTACAAATGCTATTGTTGTTCTTAAGCGACCATTTTTTAGAAGAGACTCGACCCTATCATTTCTTTTCTTACGCTTCACTAGGAAAAACGTTCTCCGAAACAGTTTACAGAGAAGAAAGGAAGCCGGCACAATATAATCGTTTCTTATTTGAGGTCCTGAATACATTTCCAACTGTAAAAAACAATAGCTAACTTTTTCTCTTTTCATCAATTGTATCTCCTTCTTTGTGTTGTTAGCTCATAGAAATTGGGACTAAATCATGTCAGCTGTTTATACGCCCAGTTGTTCGAAGGCTGATTAGCACTAACCTAAGGGTAAATTTTGATCCGAGTTTCTTTATTCCTTTGTTCAAAGACAACTTACTCTATTCTTTTGGAGCATCCAATCAACCAATTGTAGATAAAAAGAATAATGCTGAGTTTTCTTTTAAAGCTTTCAGATCTTAAGTATGATTTTACACTAGCCCTGGGTTATCTTAACCCATCCTTGACCAACCCGGTCCAGAATGCTAATTTTCTGAGATTAAAATGTTAAAAAAAGCTTCAAGGAAATAAAATTCAGACTGCTTTCGTCTTACCTGATGGCATTGGAGCTTTTGTCGGGGGAGGTGGAGCTGGAGTCCTATTTTCCAAAGCTTTAACTCTCACCAACAGCTCTTCAATCACGGAGCAGGCTATCAAAGGACGGGAAAAACTTTTAAAATCGTTTAAGAGTTAATATACGAAACTTTCTTCCTCAATTTTACCCAAACAGCTCAAAAGTGCAAAGAGAACATTACATGACCGCCCATGGATACAATTTTTTTTCTACTAATTTTGATACTATATTTCACGAGTGAGCTTCTCTCACGGGTGACACGTAAAGATAGATTCGAATCTGAAAGGAAGACATGTACTGTTCTGTTTATTATAAAAATATAATTTTCATTAAAATCAAAGACAAATTTAAAGCACATATTAAGAGCAAATAACGCTGATAATGTATGCATGTAAACCACATCGGCTATTAAGCTTCTATAACCTCCGACATAAAAATGAGATTTATAGGCTCTTATCCCAAGAATATTGCCTCTCGTAGAAAAAGTTGAACTAAACCCTGGCATTGTTCGTGAATTTAAAAAAACCCTTTGTGAAAACAAGACAGTTATTTAGATATACTAGGTTTCCATGCAGGACGACATTTTTATCTTTACCTATGGACGTGAATACATAAAAGTATGCTCACTGAAAGTACGTTGGCGGATGTTATCTTTTGAAAAAGGAGATATTTTTGTATCTCATCAATATCTACATGATAAAGTACTCTGTGATAGATATTTCATCACCATCACATTGAGTATGATAGATCAAGATTTGTTAGTATTATAAACATTCCACAACTTTCTACAAGTTTTAAATGTTACGTTGGCACTCTTCCAATGCTTTCACCCTGGCTTGCAGCTGTTTCAGTTTCTTTCCTCCACCCACGACAGGTTTGCTTCCTTGTATTAAAATGAACACAAGCAGCGAGGCAACAAAAGTGGATCTCATTTTGGACTGGACTTTAATCTGTGGAGTAGATACAATAAGTCTCAAGAACATTTTTATTCCCATGTCAGCCTCTCTTCCGATTTATTTTCTTTCACATCCTTTCTCGTTGAGGAAAAAAAAGAGAAAAAAAAAGCAACGAAAACATTTATGGGTACGTAATGACACATTTGGTATTCGCTCCAAAAAAGGTCTCTCATCGTCGACCAAAGTTCTGAATTGATAAGGTTCCCACCTCTAAATCTTTTAATTTTTTGCTCGCTTAATTTTCCTTCAGGAGCATTGTTCATTACAACTCGAATATGAATTCACAGAGTATAAACAACGTAAAGGAGCGATGCCTACGGAAGCAGCGGAAACGATGTGAATCTGCAACTTGCCAGTCAATATAGGATCGTCTCCAAGTAAACACAAATTTATGACTTTTCCTCGAGCTTTCTTTAGATCGCAACTCATTACTATAATTCATTAAAAAGAAACGAACGAAACCGATTATTAATTTCTTCAAAAATGGAGGCAGATCGTGACGAACGTGAGAAGCGAGAAAATTAATTTTCGGGTCAAAAGTGGAGCTTGTGTTGGTTGTATAATTTGGATTCGGGGGCGAACTACGCATCCAGTACCAAGTATTTCGACACGGTAGACAATTTTGCACATTTTCAGTTTTTGATAATTTGCCGCCATAACGGCGCATCGTTAGCACCAGCAGAATTTGCGGTCATGATCATCCCAAAACCGCAGTATATGCCGCCAAATAACGCGACGCCGTAGACCACCTGCACCATTTATGATATCTGAAAACTTTTTCTTTTTTCAGCGCACATATATTGAACTCTTCAGTATATTTTTTAGGTCAAGGAAGCTGTAAAAAGCATGTTGCCTAAAAACTGGAGATGCGAACTTACCTGGGATGTTGTAAAGAACACAGCGTCTATCAACAGGACAAGAAAGATTGTGTGCCCAAACGAATTCGACTACATATATGGTTAGCTGTTCAGGTCATGAACAATTAAAGTAGCCAATTGCACTCAAGTGTTTACATGTGATGATAGACGTCTTTGTTTTAATGATCATCACAACCTAGACGACAACGTTACCTTCAAAAGAACTCGATGCGAGTGAGGGTTGTTTTGGGTTGAAAATAGTCAACACCAACGTGGGGTATAATTACACAATTTTACCTTTTATTTTGATGTTTCACTTGCTTCATTTTCCTTACCTTCTTAACAAATAAAATATTCTTTTTTTCTTACGGCCCTTCAAGCTTGGAGGGAAAACAAGCACTGTATAGTCATTTAAGCAGAGAGGGGGGCTGCTCAATCCATTTAAACACCGTAAAATTAAAAAAGGTAAAAAAAGGAAAACGGCCGGCCCTAGAGAGATGATAGATGTTTTTACTTTAATAATCATCACAACCTAGACAACGGCGTGACCTTCAAAAGAACTCGATGCAAGTCGGGTTGTTTTGGGTGGAAAATAGTCAACACCAACGTGGGGTATATTTACACAATTTTACCTCTTTTTGTTGTTTCATTTGCTTCATTTTCCTTACCTTCCTAACACATAAAATATCCTTTTTCTCTTACGGTCCTTCAAGCTTGAAGGGAAAACAAACACTTTAGAGTCATTCAAGTAGAGAAGGGGGCTGTTCAATCCATTTAAAGTTCGT